GTTTTTTATCATAAAGTTCGAAGCAACACTATTATTTAATATGTTGACAAGGTGTAGCGAAAGCACAAAATGAGTCAAAATATATACCAAAAGTAGAATCTTTCATGAAATTGTGTCTTATACACAACTACATTAATATATATTTTCTCAATTTTGGCAAGAAGCAGTCTTGTGTTTGTAAAATATACAAACACATATACAATTATAATTTATTAAATAAAACGGATACATATATTATTAGCCCGTACAGAACTGTATATAAAAACGTACATTGTTTACAAATGGTATATCCGTAATATTTGAACAATAATTTAAAAATCCTCATTCCCAATTCGCAAATATAGTTATTCAAAGCAAAACAGTAGATTGTCTTGCGAAGAAAAGAATTATTATTTTGTGCTTTCGCTTCACCTTTTCAACATAATAATAGTGTTGCTTCAAACTTTATCATAAAAAACCCGATTTTCTAGACGTGTATACAAATAAAAATAGTAAGTTTATACTATAAATGAGTTTATTTTACCTGTATCGGTTTAAATTCGCTGTTAAGTTGCAAATAATTCTGTTTGAGAACGCAACAATTGGGCATTTCGCAATCAGGGCAGTTTCAGGGCAGGTTTGGCCTTGTTGTTGGGAAATCCACTAGGCCTTCTATTTTTTCGCTTGCGTCAGGCTTGTGTCCTTCCTCCGCCCCGCCCCCAAATCACCTAGTCCCAGTCTTTTCATGTGAAAAAGCGCTGAATATTAAAAAATATAAATAAAAATAGAAGGCCTAGGTCTAGGCTGCCCCAGACCCCCTTCTTCCAGAACAAGTTTGCAATTCTTCCAAAAGTGATCTATACTTAATCATTGAATAGGCAGTAAACTGTAGCCATTAAACTGTAGCAGAGTGAAAGCAGGTTATTAATTAGTAGATAAGCAATTCTACAACCAACAACTTTAAATAGACCATATGCTAGCTTTGGCTTTGTACTTCTTCAATGCCACAGCATCTTCTTTCTCGTGTTTATCGATTAAACGTTCCATGTTCTCTCTCTACATCCCCTCCCTCTGAGCTATACTTTTTTTGCGTCCGTCGAAAAGGCTTCACTTAAATTAGTTGCAAGTGTTTCCCATTCAGCAGGCTTCTCAGGAGCAGTTGCAGCAACCTCCTTTGTAAAGCAATGTCATTCTTGATTGACGACCAACAAAAGGGCGGCATACTGAGCTGATATTGTATAGATCCCCACTTCGAACAACAGAAAATATAAAAATTGCTACCTTGTCATTATTCTAGCAAAACAAAGAATATATTATGCAATTATTTCTCGCCATTGTTTATGTGCCGCCATATTGCATTTCTTATCGTTGTGGCATCATGCTTCAAAGGGAAAAAAAAATGCAAGAATGTTTTCTTGTTGATCCTAAATATGCATTATCGCAAATAGAAAAGGCCGGAGCTTTAATTTGTATACCAGCTACATTCTTACGCGAAAAAACGCAAGTCCCACGCAAAGAAAAGCTGAGTTAAATGACTTACGTGAAAACCTATCTCTTGCGGTTAGAAACTTGTAGAATTCACCGCAAACGTCACGCCAAGGACTTGCCACGTGACTTCCACGCATTTGCCGTTTGTCATAAAACGTAAATCTAAACATGCCCAGTCATCAAAACGACAAACGGGAAACCTCAAACCGCAGTTAGATGTTTCCAGTTTGCGGTAAACACCAATCTAAAGGTCTCTAATTAGGGTTTGCAGCGATCTCCACCAGACCTATTAGCGGACTAAACTCTAGGACGACATTATTTTTCAAGAATGTCGAGCACAGTTGTTCACTTCTTGAATGCAAATTTGGGATATTACAAGCCACTAGTGTATCGTATTAAGATAGTGATGGATGGGTAATTTTTTAAAGCTCTCCACCGAATCCTTTCAATATCTTTTGATACATATTCCGGGATGTCGAAATGCCAAACTTGGTTACAATATTCCATTATTGGTCTTATACACTTATATACACTGTAATTAACGTTTTCGTATCTGCCTTCACTCTTTTTAAAAGACGTAACATATACAGACGTCTCGAAGATTTTTTTACGATATTTTTTACGCCCGATAATTTTGTAGACTTTACGTGTTCATTTTTTAACGTTAATAACGTAATTAACGGAATATTTTTTAACGTTATTCAGGATCTGCTTTTCATTATCTTTATTTACCAGGGAGACGAACTTACAATATATAGAAGTTTAGGAGAACATTGGTGTAGTGCAAAGGACAAAGATGGGTAAGAATTGAAATTGCATTCTCTCGTGTGCATTTTACGCGAACTAATATATTTGTATTAATTTTTGTAAAAATCTATCGTACATGTGTTTTAAACCACCTGTTTACAGCGACAAATTCAATCATCAGTTTTATAGAAATAGTTCATTATATGCTCAGCGTTAACACGAAGGAAAAATGGCATGTTTTATGATTGGTTTGCTTAAGCAAAAATGATCAGTGTTTGTGACTTGTTCTTTAGAAAATTTATTCTTTAATTTTATCGTGTTTCATTGTTTTTGTCGAACAAAGACGAAAGATTTTCATGTAGGTTGGCGGCGACCCTTGTGAGGCGGAGGACCTGGCGTAACCGGTCACACGAACATGATTATTGATACAGTGGTATTGCATGATACAGGGCAGAACAACATGGCAACTATCAGTGAGTGTGTTGTTACAAACACAAATAATGTCAGTCAGAATCACTTTTGTATGGTCCTTTCGAAGTTTAAAGACTGTCTATAACACGTAATGTCAACGGCAGAATCAAGTGGCTGGGTGATTTTGAGAATTTTGAAATTCATTTTATGGCAGAATTATTCGATGCTGGAGGTGTCTTGAGCTCGCCCGGGGGAAGTGCTAAAGTATTTCTTTATGATCAAATCAAGCTTACATGGTATGCGGACAATAAATCTATGATATTTAACGGTGTTGATGGCCAAATTTTGGAAAGATTGGTGATTTCTATGCTAGAAACTGGCGCGAAGTTGGCGTTTTATTAACAAACGTGCTTAGTAATGGCGATCGTGAGTTAGATGTATCAAATTTCGAAAATTGTGATAAAGTCGAAAGCTACTTTAAAGATTGTTCTTCTTAAACGCTGAATCAATATGAAAAATGCACGAATTGGGCCCGATTGTCGAATGAAGTGACTCCTGCTGTAAAGAAAATTGACGGATTATATGAGACTGTGAACAAAATCTTCGAGTTGGTATGTAAATTAAATCCAACATTACCTACTAGCAAGATTATGCATGACCTCAGCCCAAATACGGATTTTAGTTCTGCTAGAGATATAAACAGTAATTTGCGAACAGTTTGTGAACTGTCTACAGATCTTGAAGGAGTTAAGTTGAATGCTGTTATTACGGGGTCTAAACTTTCTAAAGACATCCATACGATAAGCTATTCAAAGTGGGCTAGGAAAAACAGTCAACAAATTAGTGAACAATATACAGGGTGTCTAAAAAAACCGCTACCCTTAGAAATTCACCATTGTTCTAATTTGAGTGCCTGAACCTTGTTGAAGCCATGAATGCGTAAACATTTTCACAGGATGCATATATTAAAGATCTTCGGAATTAAAATATCCTTGAAATTCGAAATTGTTTATCCTGGGAATTGAAAGTAGGTTCATACAAAAGTATAACTGCACGAAAATCGTTCAATTACATATTAGTGAATGTCAAGCAAATGGCTCAACTGAGCACAGAGCAAAGAGTATTTATTGTCTTAAATTATACGCGAACCCAAAGTCTAGTCGCAGTCCAAAACCTTTTTCGAGAAAGGTTTCCTGATCGGAATCCACCTGCTAAAACAACAATTGTAAGCAACGTAAGAAAATACACGAACGCTAGATCAAGTCTTAACCTTAATAAAGGTAATTCTGGTAGGAGACGAACCACACGATCTGAGGAAAATGTTGACGCTGTTAGAGCTCTGCTCCAGCAAACAAAACACCACGTGTGAGTGCTCGCCGAAATCCTCTTCAAATTACACATGCAAGCTTTAACAGAATAACAAGGCTTGACCTGCAATGGCATCCATATCAAATGTTTGTGCGACACCAGTTCTTAGCAGGCGACTTCCCACGCCGGTTACGCTTCTCAGAATGGTTCAATCAACGCTACAGAGGCGAACATTACTTGGACAGTCTACTAATAGGAGATGAAGCAGGATTTGCCCTTAATGGTGAAGTGAACTCACATAATGTTCGTGAATATGCACCGAAAGGACATCCGCCCGCATTCAATTTTGAAAGGAACAATTCCCGTGCCAAACTGACTGTCTGGGCAGGACTCTGCGGAAATGGTTTAATTGTTGGACATTACATTTTCGAACAAAATGTTAACGGACATTCCTATCTTGCAATGCTTAACAAATTTGTTTTCCGGAATCTCGCCGTGCATTTCAACAATCAATATTGGAAAGGATTGTTTCGGGGTCTTTGGTGGGGGCAAGACGGCGCTCCAGCACATCGTCCCATTCAAGTAAGAGATTGGCTGAACGAAGTCTTCGGAAATAACCACATCATAGGGTTAGGTCACAATGTTGAGTGGCCTCCTCGCTCACCGGACTTAACACCGTGTGACTATTTCCTTTGGGGATATCTCAAAGACAAAATCTTTGCCACTCCACCACACGATATTGATGCGTTACGCCAAAGAATCATCGAAGAGTTTGATGCTTTACGACAACAGCCTGCCGTGCGTGATATGCATAGACGAACATATTACTTTGTGTTGAGAGAAATGGGGGCCACGTGGAAGGACGAGGTGCTTAATAATTGTAAAAATAAACAACGTTTTGTTTCACTTACGTATTTTTGTTGCGTTTAAATCAATCAGTCATATGCTGAACAAAACCAGAAACTTTTCAATAACTTCTCAAGCATAAAATTCCATTCAAATTGTTCATGCACCCATGAGTTCAAGATAGCACTCAGGCATTCAAATTAGAACAATGGTGAATTTCCAAGGGTAGCGGTTTTTTGAGACACCCTGTACAGTGTGTATAAAAAAAACCCTGAACCCTTTCAAATTCAAATTAGCTATAACGTATTGTAGTAATTTGACAGCTCTAATTGCTTTAAATTAATGGTTGGTTAAGAAAACAAGGTCTTGTACTCATGGGACAAAACTCAAATAAATAAAAATTAGAAAATTTAAAAGAAATACAGTATTCCTTCATTTCCTTGTGTTCTTACCCAATCATTAATTCAAAGCAATTAGAGCTGTCAAATCACTACAATACGTTATAGCTAGTTTGAATTTGAAATTGTTAAGTTTTTTTTATACACCTGTACAGGGTGTCCCAAAAAACCCGAAAACTATTGAAATCACCAATAACAATTTAATTGTTAGAATTTGAATGCCTTAAGCACTCTCTTGGTTCCCACGAGTGCATAAATGATTGACATAAGTAAATTTTATGCATAAAGAAACTGTTTAAGAAGCTGTTTTTAATTCCC